CTTGTCCACATTCTATAGGGGGCCCAAAACTGGACGCTACTCCAGATGTGGCCTCGCCAGTGCAGAATAGAAGGAAATAATTACTCCCCCGCCCCCCCCCCGTGCTGGTAACGTTCCTACTAATGCAGCCCAGTATGCTGTTAGTCTTTTTCACAACAAGAGCACGCTTGCCTCATTTTATTGTCCACTGTATTCCTCCAGGTCTGTGTCTACAGAGCTGCTGCTTAGCCAGTCAGTCCCAAGGCTGTAGCAGTGCATGGGATTCTGTTTTCAGTGCAGGACTTTCCCTTTGTCCTTGAACCTCATGAAATTCCTTTTGGTCCAATTCTCCACAGAAGGAGAAAGTGTCATGAGTATACAGAAGAGTTGTTCTGACTGGTTAGTCCTTGGACAGATGTGCAAAAAAAAAAAAAAAAAAGTTAGCTGCAATTGCAGACCCTGAAGATGCTTTTGTAACCTGGGTGGTACTCCAAGAGGTACCCCCTCTCCAATTGAAGGGATCAAAGCAGGTGCACAAGCACTGTGGGACACTCCTCCCCCTATACAGCGGAGCTAGACCACCAATGGGGCCTTAACCATATACCTTTTAATGAAAGAACAGTACTGGAAACATAACAGGCATAAACCAGGGGGTATAGGGGACATTGTAACGCCCTGGGGGGGCAGGATTCAACAAAGGTTAGACACTTACAATCATTGACAAAAGACAGGGTTAACAAAATATAAAACAGACAGAACAAACAATACTGGCTGGTGAAATATAAAAGGCACAAAATACAAAGTGTCAAATAACAAGGAATATAAAGCCTAGGTACCTGGAGCGGGGGAAAAGAATGATCCCTTTCCACTGCAACAAGAATTTCTCCCTGTTACTTCACTCACCCTAAGTCACCCCAGTTGGGACTTGAACCTGTATCTCCCACATAGTAGGCAGAAACTCTACCACCCAACCATCAGTGCCAGTACTACTCTATTCTCCTAGGGGCCTTGACCTTACCAGAGCCCCTGCCTTATATCAAGCTGCCTAGCCTCTTATTGGAAGAACTGGAAGCAGAGCTGGGAACCTCTCAGGTCACTGCTCAGATCCCTGCTGGAACTGGGGAGCCTCTCCTGCTGGCCACAGCCTCTCATAGGGGATCCTGGAGCCCAACAGGGAGTCTCTCGCTGGCTGCACACTGCACTGATGAGGACCCAATTGCTGCCTGCAGGTTCCACTCCTTCAGGTACTTCAGGGGCAACTGCTCTTGCCAGCTCCTTGAAGCTCCTTCCTCACTGGTCTCCCAAGTCAGCCCTGCTGCCCCTTTTATCCCCCTCCAGGTGACCCAAGGGGTTAATCATGGGACACCAAGGGTGTGTCTCTGGGGCCTGATTGGTGAGTAAAGGGAATCCCAAGTCCTCCAATCATCTTTTGCCCTTTCAAAACCCCTGGGTTAAGTCACTGCCAGCTAGCCTGTCACACTTGGCAATGCAGTTGCTGGAGGAAATGGAAGAAAAGTTGAAAATGTAGCTCTTCCAGGTCCCCCATTTTGCTGACTGCAGAGGGAAATATGTCCATGTACCACCACACGAAGTATGAAAGGTTCAGTCTTCTAGAGGTGTAGGCTGTAGCTGTTTGGTCTAAGGACATAGGCAGACAAGGTTCTTTGGGTAAATCTGGTATCTTTTATTAAACCAACTCAAATAGTTGGAAAAATTCTTCTTTGCGTGCGTTCGGGCACAAACACCCTTTGTCAGGCTGAGGAAGCATCTGCAGATGGTCTGTCTTCCTGGATGGAGTGGTAAAGCAGCCAGAGGCCAGTAGGCATGCAAGAAAGCCAGTCAATGAACATGTAAATTGAGGTGGTCAGTAGGTGAGAGACAGGTAGGAGGCAGGATCATTGGAGCTGTAGTCAAAGGGTGGGAGACGGGGGGGGGGGGAAGGAACTGAGAATAGCTGGTAAAAAGTGGAGGGTTTACCTGGGCCACACAAGGGTGTTTCAGAAAGTTTCTTCTGACATAGGGCCTCTGCACAACCCTGGGGACAGTGCTGGGACCAAGCCACGTAACTGAGCTATTACTGTGTAAATTAAAGAACTGAAAAGGCAGAATGCCTTGAGATGCAGGGTTCTCCCTTTTTTTCAAGTAAATGGGAGAGATCCTAAGTCCCTCAAGCAGACAGATTGGTGGCTTAGGATCAGGTCCTTCAGATACAGTACATTTTGTCAATCTTTCATTTTAAATCCTGTTTGTAAATCATTGCCTGATTTAGTGCCTGACACTAGAAATATGTTGATACAGAACAAACCTTCAGGTCCAGAGGTCATCAACATACTTGTTTTTGGGAGGTGGGGTATTAAAAATACATTTTTGTTCAGGTATCAATTAAACTTGTACCTGCCACCATCTTCAGTGATTTTTTTCCAAATTAAAATGCTTGCCTGTATTTGTGAAAGTAAGCACATGTAATTACATAAATAGATATTTGATAGGGAATGTCCTTTGCATGTATCCCTGAAAGGGACATTGCTCTATTATATATGTAAATAAGCATTTTCCATTTGGTCATGTATGGAGCATTGTGGACTGGATTGTAACTAGACCTACATAGATGTGCAAAGAGATTAAAAGAAGTCAGTCCCCTCACTGCACACTTGCGCAAGCAGGGAGAAAGGCAAAATATCAGTCCTCACATTCCTACTGCAAAAAGATTTGGTAATTTTTGCAGAAACAGAATCATTATAGGCTTTGTGTGTGAAATATTTAATATGTAAAATATCCATACTTTGGTTCTCCCCAAATCTTCAAAGTGCTTTTTTCTATATGATTCTTCATATTCCATGGAGAATCCAGCATGGGGTTGGTGCATGGGATCAGTCTGCAGGTATGATCCAGCATGTCAGACCATGTCATCTGGCCTGCAATGCTCCCCTGGGGTGAGGAAATTTGGCAGAGAGAGAAGAGTGGCTGCATTAATAGCCATGGCAATTCATGTTGCCACTGCTCCCTTGCCACCAAATTTCCAGACCCATAGAGGGCCCTACAGGACAGATGACATAGCTCTGAGGGCTGGAGGTTGAGCACCACTGATCAATTGTATGGATGTTGAAAACCCTTTTTCTGTAATGAAAATCCAGAGAAGACTTAGAAATATACATTTGTTGCTTAATTGCAACTGATAATATTGCATATAAATAAGTATGGTACTTCACTGTATCTGTAGTTACTGCAGATGTTACAACATTTATGAATGTAATCATTAAATTAGTGATTAGTATCAGTGAATTGTTCAAATAAAAGTGCCATTTTCAAAAGAAATGTGCAAAGGAAGCATCTGAAATGCTGCTTTTTGACCAGCAGATGTCCCCACTTACTTGATTTCCCTTAAATTAAAAGCACACTAAAACATTACCAAATTTAAGCTAATTGCATTTTAAGTTTTTGGAAATACACAACTTTAAAAGAATCTTTTTCAGCAGTTCCATAACCAATTTTCTACATGGCATTTCTATACTACTATGGTAAATGTCTTATTAATCTTAAATTCATTCTTCTAAAGTACTGATTTTTTTCTCAAGAAATAATAGTATTATACAATGTGTGTTCTGAATAGATATAAAAATATGCATCTCGTTTGCTATGCTGCATTATTATGCCCATTTTACAGAGGGGAAAATGAATTATCAAGTAAGCTAGTTAAAGTTACAGCTGAAGACTCTGGAAATGGAATTTGATTCTCCACCTTCCCAGTTAGTTTTTACCGTTTACCCTCTTTAATGTCCTATCTGATTTCTTTTTAAATGTGTCTGGAAATTGATCCTTAAGACAAAGTAAAACTCAGGATCTTTTTATAACGCTGAAGTTTATTTAGAGAAGGAACTTCAGTTCCAAAGGACATTAAGATGACTTTTTCTTTAACAGATGAGAGACTTGAAATGTCATGATACCGAGACAACTCATCTCATACAAAATCTGAAGTCATATGACTCTCAGCTGAAGATCACGGTCACTCTTGGCTGATGCCCATGGAACAGTTCTGGCACTTGAAGAAAACAAGTTCATTTGTTTGTTTTTATGAATTTTCTTGTGCAAAAAAACCCCCAAAAACCTGCAGGGGAAAAGTGTACCAGCTAGATTCAGAAAGGCTATGCAGTAGAACCTAGAAGTTACAAAGACAGCCAAAGATAAGCTCTTAATTTCTAGAAGCACTGGTACATATTCAGGGGTGTACTTGCTAGCTGTGTTGGTCTGAGACAAGGAGGCATACAAAAAACTAGAACTCTTGGTTCCAAAATGATACCTTTTGTTAGACCAGCTGGTACACAGTCCGTACGTGTAGGGTCGGGGTATCAAACTCCAAGTTTTCCAAGGCGGAAGGGAGCACGCAGGGGAAGGCGGGACAGCACGCGGGACCCCGGGGGGCTCTTGCTTCTACCCAGGGTCTCACATGGGCCCGGCGGTGGCTCTTGAAGGAGCTTTGGTCTTTCGGGGGCTCTTTCCGAGACGCAAGCAACCGGGCACAGCAGCCTCGTAGTCCTCCTCCTCTTATTCCCAAGCGTTTTTCACGCTTAGTCAAGAGAGCAAAGAACAAGAGCACCTCTCGTTCCCTTTCCGAACCGCAGCGCCTGCCTCCCGGCACCGGTACTCCTCGGCAACTTGTCTCTTGGCGGCCGGGGCCGGGGCCGTCCTCGTCCTACCCTCCCCACGCCCCCTTGTGCTCAGGGCCTGGGGCCGCGGGCGGGCCGG